GAGAGAGAGAGAGAGAGAGAGAGAGAGAGAGAGAGAGAGAGAGAGAGAGAAGAAGAAGAAGAAGAAGTAGGGCATCAAGCACACACCCCAGGACGATGACAGGCAGAGGGGGGTGCGAGATTGGGAGGGACACTAACTTTTGTGACGCAATCGCAGCAGGAGGTCGAAGGGGGCGCGATGGGACAAACGACGTCCAGCACGGTGGAGTGTGGCAGCAAGCGTCGCGTGGATTGCAGCACTTCTATTCGCAGTGGCGGCAAAAACACGGCAAGTTCGAATTCGACTGGTTGGGCCTCCCTGCTGAAGGGCATCTCACAAAGATGCATCCCCAGCAGGAGGGCATAGTTGACAGCCACCAGGGAAATGGAACGGGCGGTCCAGTAAGGGCGTCCTGAAAATTTGCGCCCCTTCCTGACCGGGGCCTGTGGAAAACTTCAGAGGCCCCAGGGGCACAACAGGGTAAGTCGGTCGTCGCAGGGGCATGCAGCAAATAAATGGATTTGGGAGGGGCATCTAGAAGATTTGCCCAAAAAGAGAAAAACAGAAAAAAAAACTATGTTATGTGGAAAAATAAGGTAAGTCGGTCTAGAAAATTTGCCCAAAAAGAGAAAAACAGAAAAAAGAACTATGTTATGTGGAAAAATAAGGTAAGTCGGCCGTCGCAGGGGCATGCAGCAAATAAATGGATTTGGGAGGGGCATTTAGAAAATTTCCACCAAAAAAGGAAAACAGAAAAAAAAACTATGTTATGTGGAAAAATAAACTGAACAACTTTTACCTGAGTGTCACATCAAACTTCCTGACCGAATTTAAGATAAGACATTGGATTTTTATTTTATTTTATTTTATTTTTGTGAAGAACCTCAGGGCCTCTTCTATTCTGGAGGGCGTCAGTCCGGTTGCTTATCACCGGCAAGCATGTTTTTAATTTTTTTACTTTTTTTTTTTTTTCCCAGCTCGGCCGGGCAAGTGGTCCTGGCCCTCTCTGGTAGCCTAGCTTGAAGGTGTATTCTTTGTTGCAGGTATCAAGAACTGACTTGAAACCAAGTTGAAGCTGTATCTTGTGTTGCAGGTATCAAAAACTAAAACTGACTTCAAGGTGAATTTTTTGTTGCAGGTGTCAACTGACTGTGGGGAGAACTGCACAACAGACGGAATTCATTATAATAATGCCACGTACCATGGATTGGCCCAGGCAAGTTTTCCCTTCATTCCTCTACTCCTTGCCGCCTCTCTTTCCTCGCTTCCTTCGAGACCTCCATTCACCTCTCCATGCCTCCTTCATCTCGCTTGGTCGACCTTTTCCACTCCTCTCGGTGTCCACTCCCTCCCTCCCCCTCCCTCCTTACACTCCCTTTCTCATCTCGCTTGGTCGTCCTTTTCCACTCCTCTCGTTGTCCACTCCCTCCCTCCCCCTCCCTCCTTACACTCCCTTTCTCCT